CGAGAGGAAGAATAATTACAAACTAGCCAAAATTTGACGTATTAATTTACGTAAAATAATTGATAGTAAAGAATAATTAATAAAATAGCAGACTTTTGATATCAGAAAAGAATGCATTTTTTGCTCTCAAAATGATTACATCAAATAGATAAAAAATTGCTTTCTCGTCGATTGCTTAAATATGCAAATCTATGCATACGCATATGCATATGAATACTACTGACTGCAACAATTATCATTTCTGCTTATCAGTGTGCAATATTTGCATATTACATTTGCATATTATTCCTTCTTCTAACCCAAAAAAGTGATATTTTAGAAACGAAAGCTAAAAAAGTATTGCAAGTAATAATGACAAAGTCGACTATTGCAAAAGTTCATAAGAGAAATTTAAAAGCTGTAGTGCTTTTTCAAGGGCAATTTTCTGTTCGTTTGTTTACTGTTTGTTTTGTGAAGCAACGAAATGTTCTATTTTTTTGTAGTGTGAACGATTTAAAGTTTATTTTGTAGCGAAAAAAGAAACTGATAATCAAAAGTAATAATGTAATTTGATTTGTTGAAAGAAGTAGAACCAGTAATCATATTCTATGCTTATGAAAATGATTCACAGCAAAAATGATAACTCAATTCATTTTAGTTGCTATGATTTTTTGAAGTGATAAAAATTAACTGCAAGTGAATTATTTGCCTTTTATTTCTTATTTTTATTTTTTAACTTTTGTGATATAAGAATTAGCACAGAGAATGTATACCAATTTCTTGTCTTGAAAAGTTTAAACTTTTAATACGAACACTAAAGGTGAAGTGACTTTTGTACAATTTGTGCATTACAGTGACATTTAAGCTTAATTTTTAGACTTAATAAATTTTTTAAAAACATTTAAACTTAATTCACTGTACATCGAGCCAAATATATGCTTTTTTAATTGCTAATTTAGCTTTGTAAAAGAAGCAGTGAGAACAATAAAGCCTAGTCTAGTCTGCGTATTCATCATGAGTGCTTTTGTATTATTGAATAAGGTAGTATTTATTTCTGATCAACTCAAAAAATGGTAATATTTTTAGTATTTACTTTTGATCAAATTAAAAGTTCAGGAAGAAAGGATTTTTTTTGCCTTTATGTAAGGAATGGTAAAAACAACCAAATAAAATGATAAATTGAAAGAATAATACGTAAATAAAAACGAATTAATTACAACATGAATTAATCAAGAATGATATTGATTATCAGAGATTAACAACTGATCTGCTGAAATAGCTTAACGCTTAAACAATAACTAATTATACTTATCAATTTTAAGCATGAAAAAGTATATATAACATGAAATTAACAATTTTTACAATTAAAAAAGGAAAAAAAACAAGGCTGATCCGTTCAAAGCTATCTTTTAATAACAAATCAAGCAATAAAAAATGATCAAATCAAAGTTGATAATTATTATAAGGATACAATGTGCTCAATCGATAGTGGTTGTAATCGCGGGAAAGGTAAAATTTTTGTAATACTAATCAGAGGTAGTGACCAAAATGTACGTGTCAAGGACGGAACATACACTCACACACTCACACACACACACACACACACAGAAATACACACACATACACAAACGTAAATACCGTAAACACTTTGAGAGACGATAAGTAATACGACAGATAGTGTTGAATGAGATGTTATCAGAAAGCAATTATTACACTTAGAAGTAATGTGAAAGCAAACGAATACAGTTCACAATTACATATGCATATAAGCACAATTGTATTGAAAATTAGTGAAATAATGAGATAAGATGGAATGAGATGAGACGAATGTGCGTGAGGTCAAAGAAGAAAAAAATGTAGTCGATCTGAGGGTTAAGCACAGGTGCTTGCCTTGCCCTGTCTCTTACAATTTCTTATATAACACTGTTCGCTCGAGAAGGAAGCAAAGAAAGTGAACAAGTTCGCAGTACCCGCAATTCATCTCGTCATCATCGCTCCATCACACTTTCTCTTCTCGCCATCCTCATAACTATTCATTTCATTCATACAATTACAAAGTTACCCGAAATTATTAATTTGTTTACTTCTTCCAATACCAATACATAAACTAAGACAATTTTCAATTCTACAACACGTTCACACGCAAAGTACACAATGAACCAGATTCTTGTACAATAATAGTTGGCGTACATCGTGTGCTAGATAAATTTAACACCAATATTTTTGCAAATACAGTTTGAGCAATCTGACTTTCTCATAGGAAACAATCAGTCTCCCTCACTTGTCTACTTATGCTATATACGTCACTAAATGTATACATTTGCACTTTTTCCAGCTGAATACTTAATCATTTTCATAGCCAACCATACTGCATATGAATTACAATAGAAGTGTACCACTGACCCAGAAATCACAACACTCCTCACTTCTCCATGATTACTCTTTTAATTAATCACAATCGTAACAGGACTTCAAAATCTTTCCTTGCTTTCAGTGACTCAAGACATTGCCTGTTATCGTTCTACTCAACTCACATCATGTTGTAATGCAGCAGTTGTCATCAACATTTCGCTTGACAAAACTTATTATTTGTCTTTACAAATAACCAAATTCTTACACGTCAACAGTTTGATAGCAAACAAAAATAAAGCAAGAGCTCGTATTTGAAGATAAGATTTGAACACAAAACGGAATAATACACGTCAGAACTGTGATCGAATGCAAGCAAACCGTAGCAGCCAAATGTTTAGGCTAGATGAGATCTTTCTATATCCCGAATAAGAACACTTTCTGTTCGCAAGAGAAAACAATAAATCCTAAAGTCTAACTATAAATTACGAATACAAAGTGAGTAACTGAAAAACGCTTGTATAATCAATAAATTAGCATATTTTTTTAAAGTTCAATTTCAAGAACTACAGGACAGTGATCACTTCCTTTAACTGAGCTCAAAATGTCACATCTTTTCACATTGTCGATAATTCGTTCACTAACCACAAAGTAGTCGAGTCTGAAAATTACATTTTACATACACAACAATCTATAGTTCACATATATTTATTTATTATGACACTTTTTCATGAGTTCACATAAAAATTCTTCTACACATAACATTACGAATTTATTAGCAAAGAGACAAAAATGAAGAACCTCCAGCCAATATTTTTCTCCCTCGAGTTGCGCATATTTGACCAAAATGTATATGCACCCTCTTTATCTGGATTTAATTTTCGGAAAACGTCGACGAACCCTACGAGAGATACGTAGTATTACTATGGAGCTAAATGATAGATTAATTTTTTTAGAGCACCATTATTATATCATTACAGTGACAAATTTGAAAAGTACCAGATTCAAGCAAACGAGAAAAATCATTTCGCTCTTGATCCGTGAATCCTGCCGTCTTGTTACGATTGGTTTTGGGATTTGCCAAATCTAAATATTTTAAAAGGAGCACAGATGTTAACTTGTTAAAATTCTTCAAAAACCAAGTTAATTTAATAATTTTTTTGTACTACTATTATTAAAATTAAAGATATTTAGAACACAAACCGATTTCCTGATGCGCCACGTTCAGATCACCAAGATACACAACAGGTTTCATGGAATCCAACTTTTTGATGTAGTTAATATAATAATCATCCCAAATTTTCCGCTTACTTAGATTCACCAAACCTCGACCACTGTTAGGAACATATGCATTTATGATAAAATACTTCTTGTATTCAGCAACTATAATCCGTCCTTTGCCATTTCCATCAACACCACAGTCGTCATCAAAAGCAGATGTGACCGAAAAATAAATCATTGAGTACTAAATATAGATACTAAATGATGGAATGCATGACCATATTCAATTATTAACCATTAAATATTATAAATTCTTCATCTGAAATAGATCATGCATAAAAATTTTACCTTGATAGGTTTTTCTTTTGTGAGTAACAGAACGCCGCTCTGACCCGATCGTTCTGATGCATTCAGAAAGGTATGGTATCCAGTTTGCAATTCAGCAGGAATTTCGGAACATTTTATTTCTTGTAAAGCAATGATGTCGGGATTTTCACTAATAAAGAGTTCATGACCGTTTTTCTAAATTTTAATACCAAGTTGTTAATACTTTATTACTATATGTTTCATTATTTGTGACATTTTCATAAAACTAATTCCAAATTATTTACCTACTAATGTTGCAGTATCTATTCAATCTTTATTTTCAAGCTTCGAGAACAAGTCATGATTAGGTACAGATTGTAAATTAAGTAATACAAAGTAAAAGCTACAAAAGTCGTTGATACTTGAGAAAACTGAAAAAAATTGATGGCAAATGTAGATATATACAATTTAATTGTATCAAAATAATCTAAATATAATAAAGCTAACCTTAATTAGAGCCTTTAAACCAGCGACATTCCAACTGATTATTTTAATGTCTTTGAGTTTCATTTTTTTGCTCTTTGGTCCTTTTGAAGTCCCTTCTCCTTCTGTTCTAAGTATTTTCACCTCCTGCTCACAATTTATATCAGGCAATTCATCGCTCAACTCCTTTCCTTCATCATCTTCATCTGATTGTGGTTTGCATTTCGATTCTCCCTTTCTTCGTCTACCAAATTTGCCAGGCATCGAGACACAGCACTGCAACTCTGTTACACTAGTAATTTTTGCTGCTTATCATTTCGTTTATGCTTACTCAAACTACAAAGAATGCAAATTCGTCAAGAATGTAAATTCATAAAATACTGCATACCTTTAAGATTCACTAATGAGATTAATGAATAACTTCTGTACCGTACTTCTAACCCTTCCTTCCTCGATTGCTTACAAAAATTTCGCAACTTTAATTTATGCCTTCTTTACTATTTGCGGTTTAATGCCATTTTGCTACTTCTGTTAGTTTTTTTTAAATAATGTGAATAAACAGTTTGTTGATTTTCTTCCAGTTTACATAGTGAGATAATACGACTATATGTTAATTTAAAGATTTAAACAATGAGAATTGTGTTTTTAATGTTAGAAAGTTTTCCAATTTGATTTAAAAATTAGACGAACATTTGAATATTTTAGATGCCGTTGACGAAACGTGCCATCTCACCTGTCAATGTGAGTCTCCATCGCCTTCCGTTATCGTTACAACAAGACGAGTTGGAGTGTGTAGCAAATGGTACTCTAGCAAATTTAATTCGGCAGCTAAGTTCGCTTAGTCGACATGCTGAGCATATTTTTGGCGAAATTTATCATGAAGCCGTCAAATTAGATCATAAAACAAACACATTATCGCAACGCATTGAACGATTAACTTATAGAGTGACACAACTAGACTACACTCAGGAACAAGGTTTTTTACTTTTAAATTTTACTGAATATGAGTTGAAATTCTGTAAGACAGGATTATTCCAAGTCAAACTGGATTGTGTTCTTATTTACTCTGTCGCTTCATTTGTTATTTCTTTGTTTTATATGTTTGTACTTACAGCATAGCTTTTCAGTGTCACTCGAAGATATACACATGCGAAAACCATTCAAAAGTAGTTGTTTAATCGACCAGCACACATTGGATCGACAAACATTACCTTCTGCATTGGCAGAATGTTATGCTGCCTGTGATCCACCTCCCAATTTGGATGCTTTAAACCCTTATAGAGATGACAAAAAGAGTGCCCTCAGGTTTTTTTGAAAAATAAATTTTAAATAGTTTGAAAATTCATAATTTTTGTTTTTAGAATAGAAATTCCAAGGTTGTGCTTTAGGTACTATACTGATCCATCATATTTTTTTGACTTATGGAGACAAGAGATGCTCAAAGATGTTGGTGATGGACGTCGTGGACGTGTGGTTAGAAATGTAGTTGAAAATAAAAGTCCTCGAAAGAAGCGTAATCGACAACCTGTCTCTAGTAATGTTGGAGGAGATTCCATGTCTAAGTAAACATTGAATTCACATAATTTTTTTTTCGGTTTTTGATTACGTAAAAAAGCTTGTGTATATCTTCGGTGACATCGAAAATGGAAGAATTTAAGTTCTTTTTTAGATATACTGTGCCTTCGCAACAGCGCCCTGGAGACATCATGCATTTTCCTGCTGAATATCAGGCACCACAAATAGTGCACACAGATAAGGTTCGCATACCAGTTGGGATGAGTGTGCCATCTTATAATGGATATGCTCCTGCAACGCACAATTTCGATGTAACCTCGTCTTTGTCACCATTTATGAAAGTGGTAAACTTCTTGTATTCTAAAAAACATGTAAAATCTTTATATTTAGTAGAAGTAAAGTTTTTTTTTAATTTGTGTATGACAATTTCAAAATTCGAAAATAAAGTAATATTCCAGGAAGTAACAGATGCTGCGACCGACAAAAAAATAGCTGACAGGTTAGCAGATATTGACTTGCAAGATGGTTCGCTTCTAGAAGATGATCTTCCTCCTCCACCACCACCTCTCATGCATACCTCACTTGTTTGTCAGTTACCTGCTCCTCCTACAATGCAGTATGTTGCTCCATCTGCTGATTCCATTCCACCACCTCCTCCACCCCCACCATCTTCTACCATACCGGTTATGATAAATACTCAGCCCTCTATTGTTATTGCATCTTTTACTAACACAGAAGAAGCGAAGAATGATACTCCTGCTAATCAACTCTTGGACACTCGTTCAAACTTACTTGCTGAAATACAGTCTGGAATAAAACTTAAACAGGTTAATAAGGAATGACTAAGTAAATATAATCTTGCAACTAAAGTTTTAATATTTTGGTCTTATATGAAAATGTTTGTAGGTGCAGAGGAAAGAACAAGCAGCAGAAGAAAAAGCAGCTGCTGAAGCAAATGATGTTGCTGCCATTTTGCGTCGTCGAATGGAGCATATTCTTGGACACTCTGATAGCAATAGCGAATCTCCAACTGATGACGATGAAGAATGGGATTGAATACTGGGATTCAATATTAGTCAACTATTTGATTATGTAATTCTTCATTTTTATATTTTTTAATTTGTCATTGGTTGTAGCACGTAACTTGTGTAGTGGTTTGGTTTGGCTATTTGGTTGACATTATTACGAGTTCAGTTCTCTGGTAGTCTTCTTGATTTCCGGGTTCAGTTCATTCAGTCAATATTTATTTGTGTCTTTTATGTTTGAAATTTCTAAAATTCACTTTTACGATACTGTTATACGAAGGTAGTATTACTGTCCTGGTTTTATCTAATTAATCAGTGTAATGAAAATTATAAGAAGTGTTGACACTTGTATAATTAAGATTTGTGGTTTTTTATCCTTTTGAATGTTGCGATTATTTCATTTTCTATGATAAGTGTCTCTTATGACTAGATTTACTGAAATGTAAGATTATGTGATAAGAAATGTTAAATATATGTAATCTGTTTTGGGTGCATGATTGATAAATTCAGTGTTCTCCTACTATTTGCTCTTATTTAGTTTATTTCATTGCTTGAGGATTATTTTCGTATACAAGAGTATTAACATTGCTCTTTGCGACGAAATGTACATTTTACATGTTATCTCCAATTTCTTTTATATTTAGATGGGTATAACTAATAATATTATCGTTATGGCAGTTGCTTTCCTTGCGTTATCAGTGCTTACTATTTTTACTCTGTTCATATTTGCAATTGTTAAAAATGATATTATAGTTAATTTCCTTGCTCTTTGATATAGGAAACTTTATGATTCACGGGCTCTTAGTGACTATTGTTCTGAGTTACAAGGTTGTGATATTTCAAATAAATGACCAGCAGTTGTATTGAATATTTCGTTGCATTTCACGACAACTAAGCATTGTTCGTTAGCATTTCAGTCTTTTTACTTTCTGAACAGCAGATGTGTTTGGGGAAAACAAAGGGAGGTGTTATTAGTTTTGTTAATATGGATGTGATGGATTGTATTTACGAGATTTTTACAGTATGAGTAAAAAACGAATTCTTGATGCGATAAGAGGTGTCAAAGATATTGCTGAACTGAGATTCGTTGCTGGTTTGGAGGATCATGAAATGAAATGCGTTAAAGATAGAATTGATAAGGTAACTAAGCTTGACTTAACAATTCTAGTTCATAGAACGTTGTCTTCTAATACCTGAGATGATGGCTAGGTTGTGATTATTTTTTGAGGACTTATGTGAACAAATATTTATTTATAACAGTTGTTCGAGCATTCCGTTTATCATGGCAAGTGTAAACGAAGTATGCTACTTGTAACAGCTTACGAAGCGCTTGGAGGAGGACAAAATGAAAAACAACTACAGTTAGTCTCCAATATTGCAGCATGTCTTGAACTTCTCCAAACTTTTTTCTTAATTGAGGATGATATTATGGATGAAGGAGTTAGCCGAAGAGGGAAGCCATGTTGGCATAGGCTGGTTAGTATTCTCAAAACTTACCATTAGTTTATCTGTATTTTAATTTGCATATGCAAATCATTTTCTTATGCAAAGCTATAAATTTATACTAATAATTTTTTGATGGATGTACTCTTACTAGTAGTTTTTTAATAATTCTTATAATACAAACTATAAATTGGGATTAAACTAGCTTGCTTGACTAATCATTAGTTACTTGTTTCCATTGTACATCTTTCTAGAGAACTTTCGCTTCATTGTTCGTTCATGATTTTTAGGAAGAAATAGGAATGAATGCAATAAATGATGGGTTATTGCTGGATTCTATGGTTTCTTACACTCTGCGTAATAGTCAGATCCCACAGCTAGTTAAAGATGCTTTCGACGAAGTAAGAACTTATCTCATATCTTCCTGTCAGTTTATGATTTGCTGATTTCAAATTTACTTTCATGTTCATCATTAGTTTCAGATAACTTTAATTCTTCTACTTCCATTTGAATTTTTAGCATTTATATCAAATCTTTTTCAAGGCACGCCGTGTCACAGTAATTGGGCAAATGCTTGACTGCGATACAAAACGCATTGAAGATTGCACATGGCAGAGGTCGTTTAAAACTTACCTTAAAAATTTTTCGCATTATTCAGTAATTCGTGATTTCCAGAAAATTAATTTCTAGGTATCGGACGATAACCCAACGCAAAACGTCTCACTATACATATTATACTCCATTGCAAATTGCAGCTCTTTTAACTGCGCAGCTCTCGATTATCCAGCCTCTAAAACGAATTGCTTATCAATTAGGTTATCTCTTTCAGTCCAAGGTACTTGCTGTTACTTGGTATTTCAAAAGGCTATTGTCATGTTCTCAATACTCCTTCTGTTATTAGTAGCGCATTGCTAAACTGATCTATATATCACCGCAAATTGTGTTTGTTTAGGACGATTATATGGATTGTTTTGTTGACGAATCAATAACAGGGAAAGTTGGAAGCGATCTGAAAGAGGCTAAATGTACTTGGGTAACTTGTAAAGCTATGGAAAAACTATACGATCAGCCAAATCTCTTGAAAGATTTTCAGGTTTTGTCTACTTTCATACTTCTGTATAGACAATGTTTTTCCTAGGCCCACTTTAGATTTTTAAGGATAATTTTGGAAAATCAAGTGCTACTTCGGAACAAAAACTGAAACAAATTTTGGCAGATCTGCAAATAGAAGGCGATTTTCACTTATTTCGTGAAAGATACGGAACTGCTATAATGGATGACATTGATCACTTCCCTATGATAGATCTCAGACCAGTACTTCGAAAATCAACTATTGACTTATTAAATACAAACCTCTCATGACTTAATATTGCTTGTTTGTCATTATTTCATTTATAATACTTTTAGAATCATTAATATTATAGACCATTTTACTGAAGTTGGAACATAACAACGCATTAGACTACAAATTTACCAGGCTAGGGAGATAAATGAAAGTAACTGAGAGGAAATCAGTGATATCTGTTATATGTGCACTTCCCCCATACCCGCTCACTATGATCTGCAAATATAAAAAGAGGCAATAGACATTTCCATACACGTGCAACCGACATGAAAGAAATTTCGTTTGATATTTTTTTTAACGTTTCATAAACAATGAAGATTAAGTTGAAATTAGAACCCACCAAACCAAATAATTTACTATATCACAGAAAGATGTAGAGTCTTGAAATTTCAGTTACATCATCTTTTGAAAATCTGTGTTACGATTTGTGTGAAATTTTAAGTTTCGAAATAAATTGTGACCCGACAAATCACGTGACCAACTAAAAAATTCATATTCACGACATAGTCACAACCTTTGGAATAAATTAGAGATAGTGAAACTGAAAAATAAAACAAAGAATAGTTCAATTTCATCACACCCTGTGGATGTTGAAAGATTTTGTACTATATCAACTGAAAATGTAAAGAAACATATCAACTTAACACAACATGTAATAGAAGAACTAGTTTGAAGATTCCACAGAGAAATATATCCCATCAGAAACAAGCTTCAGAATACAAACTATCAGTAGAATTTTGCTTTCTCTGGCTTGCTCCTGAAATACACATCTATACAATGATAGGATGAGAAGGAATTATACTATTCATGCTTGCTTTATTAATGGATTTTAGAGCTTTGTTTTTACTTCATAGTAATTTTAACATACATGAAATCACAGAACTTATATAAGATAGAAATGTGACTTAAAAACACCAGCAAAGAAAAATAAAGGCTGTTCGTAACTCACCTTATCCATAAAATTACGATAATAATCACACTTTGTGCCAAAACAACACCAATGAAAAACGATGATGATAAACATGATATATTTGGGCAGCTACCGCCAGCAATGTGGGCACTTGGCTGAAAATGATCATGATGCAAAAGAAGCTGTCCACTCGAAAATTCAACTTTCAGCCTTTAATTTATCATTGAATCAACGTACGAAAATAAGAAAAAGTTTTTTTGTTTCAAATCATGTAAAACACAAAAATGTATTCGGTTACACAGCTTGCAATGCTCTTCCAAGAAAAGAGAAATGACAAACTTTGACAAGACATATTTTTTTATCTTATCTTTATGATAAGAAAAGAATAAAATATACCGATCCAAGTTGCACTGTTCGAATCTGTCGCACATCATTTTGTATTGTTTCAATAAGAGATCGCAAAGCTGGATCAGATCCCGCAGCAGATGGAGAAAGATTAACACCACTACTACCCATTTTCTGTTCAAGGTTATATGTTCGAGTGAATATTTCATTCACATAGCTTTTCATATCCCGGATGTTAGCGGTTAAGTCCCGTAGCGACTGCAAAAACTGCACTATAATCTTCTGACCATTTAATTTGGAAATTAATAGTAGCATGAAAAACTATTTTAGAAATGATTACCTGCAATGCCTCATTCTTTTCATGCAGCCGGAAACCTTCATCTCCACTACCCGATCCAGTTGCAGCTACTCTATTACTCCCACTGACACACTGCTGAATCAAAGAAGACTGAACGTTTTGGTTCTGACTAAAATTTACGAGTCATGTAGTTTGGGCTCACAAAAATAGCTTAAACATGGTAATTAATACAATACTAAATCACCCTAATTACTAAACCACCATGGAATCAGTATAGTTTCTACAAAGAAATTCAAAAAATTTTTTGCCTTTATAAAAAAATTGTATAAAACGTTACCCAATATCCTTTAAATTGTTTTCAATGTGCTGCAAAATTTGGTGGATACTTGTTTGCATTTCAAGAATCATTCTCATTTCTCTCTGCGATGTATCTTCATAAATTTTGGCCATTTCCTCCTCCAGTGTGTCCGGTTTCACTTTTTCCGGATGTTCCTCTTTAAATCTAAAACAACTTATTTTTGTTTTTTATATTTACTTAGCTAGAAAATGGAGATTTCATCATTAAGCTGATTCATACTTCTGCCGTTGTTTTTCATATTCTTGCATTCTTTCTTCAAATTCAGCATCATATTTTTGTCTTTCCTCTTGCGGAAGAGTAGGAGCTACCTGCGGCCTATCTGTATATAATGAGAATACACTAAATTCAATAATATCATGATCATCTGCTAGTCCACCCGTCGCCGCAGAAATACCTGGAAACTTCAGTGATTATATGGCTTATATTTCCGGCATAAAAACAGATAACAGTAGCGACAAAATTTATCATTCAGTTTAATATCCAGTGATATTTATTACAAAAATTATTCTTCGGAACGTTTTGAAGGCTTTTTTTAAAAATATTAACAATGCGAATTACCAAAATATCCATTTCTTGGTAAAAATATATTTTCTGCACGGATACATAGCTCATATCGCGCTTGAGGTAACAAGCCATCAGACATTGAAACAGTCAGAACATTCCGAAGATATTCGACTTTCATATGTACAGGATACGGTTTATTCCGAAAGTCTTTTTGACAGCCTCAAAATGGTGGAATTGATTAAAAAATAAAATAAAAGCTAATAAAAGTATAACACATTTGATGAGAATAACAATATGATTTAATCGTGAAACTCAAGTGAGTGAATCACCTGAAAGCATTTGTTGTGATCCATCTGTTTGGTGATCATACTTTTTAGTACCATCGTTAATCATTAGTGCAATAAAAGGATTGTTTTTTTGGGCATCATTATCAAATGAATCTAAGAAAAGTCCCATTCCTGTCCAATAATCATTCGCTCCAAAAACCTGTAACATATTACTTTCTCTTGTTTTTCCTTCCTTTTTTGAAAAAATTAATTCAACTTAAAAAGACTCTGGCTTGAACTAAAATGAATTCAGGTAGAAAGAGATAATTTTTTTAATGCATGAAAAACAAAATTTTCATGACCAACTGGAATGAAGTCCTAATTATATGGTACGTACAATGGTCATACCATTTTACAATACTTTAATAGTCAATTTTTTAGATCAATTTTAAGGCAGACATTTTAAATCAGTTGCAATGGCTAGTTTTTGCACAACACTAAAATACAACACAGAAACAACTTACAGGACCAAGAATAGGTTGTTGAGCGACGTACCAAACAGCAATGCCATCCGCTCCAACACGACCTTGTCCAGTTATTTGGAAAGCAACATTAATTTCAAAATGATCTGATTCAGTCATTGCACGCTTGTTCCATGCAAGGCCTGTAAATTACTAAATTTCCCAAATATATATTAGTTCAGATTAATTTGGGTGGTTATTTTGCAAACAATTAAGAACATTATACCGAAATCAACTGCAACTATTCTGTCTTGAACAATTTTGATTTCCGCAGAAAAAAATTAATTTTCTAAATACTATAAACAACGTCTTTTTTTTTTTTTTAAATTATTGCAGTACAGGAAAAGTAACCTCTACGACTTCTCATAGAAGGTGCCAAACGAAGTTGTTCCTTCGATGCTACTGCGTCACCAATGATTGTCCAAAATGGTATAGTACCATCACGTAATGACAAATCAGGTGCACGAAAACTATGCTTATATTCAAAATGTCTTTGTATAGAACTATCCATTGCTTCCAATGACGGGACCCTATATACAGTAAATAGAAGCAATAATGATGAAATGGTCCACATCATAGAAACCCTGGAAATAACAGAACTAATGACAGTGAAAGCAGACATCACGAAGGTATCACAAATGGCTACAGATGCTAGATAGGTAGAAATCAGAATATCGCTTTTACGAAGATTACTGCAATTTCATTTAAATGAAAATACGTTGTAAACCACAACTAAAAAAGGTCTGCTCAAGTAAAAAAAATTGTTCTGTAAAGAGCACGATAAAACTGAAGAAACAAGAGTTCTCTCAGCGGCAGAAAAATGACTGAAAATTTTAATAAAATATAAAAAATTACAGCGACCGTCAACAGTAAAACACTACAAAATAAACCAAGATTTGTCCTTTTTTTACAAAAATACTGCAGCAAAATACGCTTAGAATTATCATTTTTTATTTTACTTTATTTATCAAAAATTATAAGCAAAAAAAATGTTCATTGTTAACACAATAAATATTATACATCCATACTACAAAGTGAAGTATCACATTCAAAAACTGAAAATTTAACAACATATATTACAACTGAAGGAAAAGGTAAACAGTATGTATATCTCAAAATAAAACTATAATCAATGCATCAAAAAAAATTAAAATCGATAATAATAATAATGGTAATAACAATAATAATAACAATAATAATAATAATAATAATAATAATAATAATAATGTATATAATATGTTGTAATCAGTGTATCAAATGTTACGCTGAAATGAACGACAATACGATTTCGTTTTCTTTCATAGAAGAACGGATATAACATCAAATTTTTACCAAAGGGAAATTAATCACGAAGTTAGCAGAAGTTTTTGGTAACAATACTAAGATTAAGATTAACACTATAATAATTACAATGAAGAATAAATAATATAATATCAATCAGCAAAAGCACTAATTTAATTACTTGTCAACGTATATAAATAAACACACAAATATATAAATATGATTAATCTCAGTAATATAAGAGTAATATTAATTAGTAATGATTTGAGTATAATGAGCAAAAAATTACAACAAAATGCCTATAAATACTACATTCCATACCTACCAATGACACTTGCTACCAAAAATAAGCAACTGTCATCTTTATACTACGTCACACCAAAACTCATCACACATCTATGTTACCACAAATGTATACGTTGAAGAGAAGAGTTATGCAAATACAAGACAACCACCACATTTCACTACAAGTACACATGAATCCCTACTATACCCGAATTTACTAAAATACATCGTTTACTAATTGGTTCGTCAATCCATTATTATATCTCATATTACACTATCAAACACTCTACTACTACCACGTACTGTTCTTCTTGCATCTGTTATGAAAAGTGTATTTGATTGATACATGCAAAAACCATAAAGTCTTCACTCATTTCCTTCTCTCATGCTACAATCACATCACTTCTATCCATTCAACATTAGTAATTACAAAGTAACATCTCTACTCTAATCAAATTAACATGTCAACAAAATCCAAAAAGAATAAAGTATTTAACAACTTGATCTACCATGACCTGTATCGTATTCACTACACACTTCATGTAAGCAGTAGTCTTACACTAAAATACAGAAAATTTATTGATAAAAAACACTAAACTAAAACCAAAAAATGCACAAGATATCCCACATAAGATCTTATCCCTAAATAATGCAAATATATTACATTCAAACATGATGACATAGGTCATATGTCCTCTAATACTAATACACGCTAATAATGACTGAATCCCATATCCAAATACTAATTTGTTCAATTCTGATGTTAAACAAAAGCATTTGGTATTATGCAGATCAAGGGCAATATTACTACAATTAATTAAGCCTATGGCACTCACAACCAAATTTTTATACATAATGGCTCTAGAAGTTTTTCAGCGCTACTAATCGGTACCTATGCGGACTCCAAAGTTGTATTAAATCTATTGCTCCATATATGTTTTGAGAAATATAGCGAGTAGGAATTAATAAATTATATACAAAGATGCAAAACAACTACGACTATCGACATTAGTAATTAGAACTGAATATAGGAGAACTATACAACATTGCAGTTTTTCTAAACAATAAATAGCTTGGAATATGTTTGCTAGAAAGCTAGTGACATAACATTCAATTTTAAATTGTAAAACTTCAATTTCAAGCTGTAAAACTTCAATTTCCGAAAAAACAATGCACAAGTAACTTACATCGCAAGTAAGCAATATATACGCAACTTATTTCGTACAAAAACAATATACAAGTGACATTAGTGATATTTATATTACCGAAATCAAACAAACGACTTTTGCAAAAAAAGTGACAAAGTCACTACCATCAATTTCTATGAAGTAGCATTTCTTGAGCCATTGGTCCAACTAACTGAGCATATTCTTCCATGAATTTTTCAGTTTCTTTGAAGCCAGGAAAACCCAACAAATGCTGATAAGACATAATCTTCCTGGAAGCAAACACTACTGAATTATAAGAAATACTCCTAAATATGTTTACGATGATAAAAAATGTATAACTTACGACTGATATAGGCATCTAATAGATTCTACGGAACACGTCTCTGCCACAGGAGCATCTGGATTAAATGCTTCTACTCGTTCACCGAACTTTTCTATCATTTCCAAACATTTTTCCAAAGGCACCCAAGTGAAACTACGATCACACAAGAGATCAGACGGATGAAAGTGCCCTTTATATCGCATTTTTCGACAGGAATGAATATAGAAACCCATATAATAATAACGCAGCTGCGGCCTATCTTTAGAAAGCTCTTGTGTGAATGCAATCTCTCTGAAGGACGAAACATAGGAAGTTGAACATAATATTAACTTAAAATCTACAGACCAATCTTCAAACGACAAATTTGAAGTGACAAACAATTTTTCACCATCACGCCCAAAACCAACGTTATTTATTCAGTTAATAGGATAGAAATTGGTTGATTCTATGAAAAATTATGGAAGAAGATGGCAGAAAACTGATTCAATGATTTTTTTATTTAAAAAACTCTAAAGAATAATGTATGAAAAAATTTATAAACTACGCACCTCAAAGCAGAGTATGTTCCAAGACTAAGGAATTCATAATCAGGGTCATAATAAAAGTATTTGGCTGACAAACAACGCGGCAAAATATCCAAAACTCCAACGGCAATTAAATGTTCGTCAATATAATATTGTTGGTGATATGTGCCAAGTGGTAAACACTAGAAACCATGAATTATTGAAATCAGTACATGTATTTTAAATCCCTTCAACTAAAAAATCATGAAACTTATTAAATATGCTCAAAACATAACTTCGAAGCCATACATGAAAACGATTTTCGAATCGTAAACTCATAAAAAGACAATGTTGTATAAAACGGCACAAATCGTAAACTCATAAAGAGACAATTTTGTATGAAACGGCATATTAAAGTTACATTGTTTTCGCATTTTTCGTCACTAAAAAGCGGAGAATCTGCAAGAAAACTTCGATAACTGGATTTGGTGCAACTGGTATCGTTGTGAACAATTTTCTGGTATTTCTCAAATAATGCATAACTTTCTGTGAAAGTTTCAATATATTCAGGTGAATCAACTGATATCAAGCGTACCTAAAACATACCGGAAAGTAAAATTATGTCTATCAATTAAATCAAAAAATGAACCACTGTCGCGACATAACAGTAAACAGGAAAAGTTCCAAAGTAAAAAAATGGTTTCATGTAGCCTGAACAGTTCAATATTTTAAAACAATTACTATTAATTTATGCTTGAATGTTTCTGGATCATAATCAATAAAGAATGAATGCACCGTTCTTCTTCGAGACTCTTCTTTTTCCTTACGTTTTCTTTGAGCCTAAAAACATTACACAATAAAATCTGAAAAATCTAAGGCGACCAAAAAAAAACAGTGAAATGATACATAAATTGATTAATGGTTTGCATATTTTAGAAACTTTTTTCAAGCACATGTCTAATATGACATTAAAAAAATGATCTGCCTGCATTCTATTAGGAAAAAGTACCAAACGCCAATAAGTCGTTAAATTTAAAACCAGATTTTAACAAAATAAACGATTACAAAAAACAAAAATGTAACAGAATTCCAACCTCTTCAATATCGATACCTTTCTCAAGCATTTTTTTAAAAGCTCTTTGTCTTCTAAAGTCCTTCTTTTTTCGACCGCTTTTTTTACGAGTTTGATCTGAATTTTCTACGACGGTTTTGGTAAATCTATCATTCGAATTGATAGCCTTGCTCTCCACAGAGCTTGCAAATTTATTCAACTGCACTCTTGGTCGGATATCTTTTAATAGAAAATCATTCATATGTCGTAATGCTCGTTTTTGTGATCTTGTCAAACGAAACTTGTTGGCATCAAGTCTGAAATTAAGTGTGCCAGAAGTTGTTTATGTTTTCCAAATAATTTATTCACTGCACAAAAGGAGACAGAAATATCCTCCACAGCATACACTTAGAACGAATGTATACCTGATCGTATACTGTGGACAGCAAGTGTTCTTAATAACAGGCTTGTATATGTACTTCCCACACCTGAAAATTAAAAGCAGTTGCAAAAGTAATAGAACAACAAAAACTTAAAATTATACCTTCTCATGCCTCTATCAAGTAATCCGTTATAGTGCGATACGGAAATACTGAAAGACCAAACGGCTGAAATTAAAAGAAAGAAAAGATTAAAGTTAGCTAGCATACAGAAAAAATCTGGAAAACAAAAGTGACTAAGATCGCTTTGTTACGTAATTTTCATTTATCTTAACAGCCTAAAATTTAACATAGCAATTTGTCACTTTTGCTTTCTCTGTCGAATTACCGGCTACATCCTCTATCTAAGAGCTGATTAAAGTGCTCGCACGATAGATAATACACCAGAAGTCCTGCAAAATTCAGTGTGAAACCTTATGTTATTACGAGCTAATAAGAAATCTTAGATGAGTAGTGATAAGTATGTGAAGCTCTTAATTATAAATTTGAAGGAAATGGAAGCTCTCAGGAAAATATCAGAAAACCAGTTCTGAACTAAGCGCAATACCTATACTAGAGTGCTTAGTTTCGTCTCGCTGACAATACCCACACTGACCACCATTGCTATAACCAATGTACTCAACAAGAGAATTTTTGGGATCCTCCTTTGACTGCTCAGACTTCATTTACGCACTGACGATTCCAATAATCCTGAGCGAAAATAAACTACAATTAAGGGATCCACAAGACTTATTAGAAGCGCTGAGAAATAGCACAACCTTCCCCGACGTCGTATAAACCTGACTTATAAAAACATCTGACTAGGTTGACTATAAATCATCCACAAAAGTTTATGCAAAAACTGTGAAGTCTACTGATAAACAGATTTCGTATATATTCCGTCATGTCAGAGTTGAAAATGAAATTTGCAGCAAAAAGGGTATCAGACTAAAATCTGAGCTTGAAACAAATATGAGATTTAACTGCTCTTAAAGTAACATTTCGTCATTCATACATGAAAAATATGAATTATTATTTATCTTGAAACTGTTACAAAATCACAATGCATCTTTTTTTTCTTTCTTTTCCATTTTTTCTTGTTTTCGGGACATAAGCTTTTTTGCCGACAATTCTTCTTTCTCCGCTAGTTTTGCTGCCTGCAATTAGGTATAAAAAATTCCAGAAAAAATTTGCATACACTTTACTGATAAGTTCATAGCAAAATTCGAACTTAAAATTACTTTTGAAAACTAGCACTGTAGCAATCCCACATATTTACCTTTTTCTTTGCTTCAGTCATTTTTTCAAATAATACTGGAAATCTTGGGTCACGAGGTAAAATCTCGTAACCATAATATTCAAGCATGTCTCTTGCTCTTTGTTCCTTTTCTAACTCTTCTTTCGATTTTTTTGGTGCTACTTCTTTTCGATTTTCCAGAAATTCTTTCAAAAGTTCAGGATACTTTTTCTCTGCTGCAGTTACTTCTTCTAGCCTGATATAAATTTTCAAAATCAAGTTTTCTTTTCTTTTTTTGCAAAAATATTTACTTTTCAAGTTATCTCTGTATAGATTTTTCAAGGAAGAAATTTCTTTATATGATTTTAATAGTACGCTTTTATTAATCACGTAATGATTACCGAGCTAGAGCAGCAGCGCGTTCTGAACTTTCTGAATATTTTACAATCTTCAACAAATCATTATACTTTTCATACCAACCGATTGCTTCTTCTTCTTGAACTTCCTTAAATTAAATCTTAAAAAACTAAAACTCCATTACTTGTGTGAAAATATCGAGGTAAATATATACCTATATACAATTAAACGAACTTCGCTTTTAAATTTTTTAAAAATTATTACCAGAATAACTGGTAACACAGATGCCACTTATTTATCTCGATAGCTGACATAACTCTGCAAGAACAAACGGATACAATAAATAACTTAAGTAAAGGTTATACATTCACCTCAATGCTTGGCCACAACTCTCCTGGATCAACACCACTTGCTAATCCATAAATGCCAAAACGTTCACGTTTGGCCCATAATTCTTTCTGCCATCGATAGGTTATCGGTGGCAAGCGACCCTCTGCGATTAAGCGATGTCTTTCAGACAATCTAAAACATTTAAAGCATTCAACAAACATGCACAAACGATAATTTCTTCAAACCGAAAAGGTAAAAGAAAAAACATCTATTCGTTTAAAAGAGTAAAATCAAGAAAGATAAAACTCAAAGTTGGAAATATGACCTCGAAACAACTTTTTTAGCATTCTGAGCGTATTCTGCATCAAGCGGATTCAATAAACTGCTGTCATCCAAAGAACTTGATATACTTGCTGCCGTATTCAACAAGTAAGAGTATTTACAACCACAGTTAAGCACTATTAATTGTCTGCATTGCATTGTGCTTTACATTAAAATCCCCGGAACAAAAGCTAAAATGGTACCAATGAAAAAATCTGGCATCAATTTGCATTCATCCTAACCTTCTCAGAAACAATTAATCCCTCACTCGCCATTCTAACAATGTACTTGGGAATCTATCTCAACAACTAGCCACCCTCTCTTCAGTTCCTTTGTTTAGAGTAAATGATGACCTTAGTTAGCTGAATCTTTTATACTTTGTAGCATTCATATGTGCCGGGCTCCTTTTCTACTCTCATATCTTCTAGTCTTTTTTTTTAAATATTTTCTCCTCTGATCTCATTCAGAGTCTTTTAGTGGTGTAGAAATTGTTGGCTACTCATTCTCCAGCCTGTTCAGATATTTGAGTATAACTACTATAAGATTAGTTCAGGTATGGTTGACTCATCAAGTAAGTTTAGTTGTTGGTGTAGGTTAATTGGTTGTGGTAATATCTGATGGTTGAAGGAGGGTATCATTGTTGGTATAGGTCATGTATCATACTTAGTCCATTAATCACAGTTAATCGTCGATAATCCTTGTGGAATTGTGTTCAGTGTAAGAATTGAATTCTTACTTCTCTACTCTTCACTTGCTGATTGATATTATCGTTAATATTACTCTTCATTTCTGTTTTTTCATATAATTTTCCTTACATATATTTTAGAATAGTCAGCAGTAGGAGATTGAATGTTCAAACCTCCAAAGTGGCTTTGGTTTTTAGATATTACAATTGGGATCACATTCATTTCTGGCATTTCTTCTTTTTTTGTATGGCGACGTTCTGAGAATTTTCGAAGAGAAACTTTTTCACGCGTGCCTCTAATTTCTGATTATTTTTATCACGTTTGTAACCTTTTTAATGCTCGTTTTAGTTTGCATACCTGTTCTCTATACTTTTGCTTTGTAACCTGTTGTGGTCTGTTCAATTGTAAGTATGTTATATCTTATTTTTTTCGCTTTTAAATCTGTAAAATTTTAGGCAGAAGATGTAATTAGTGGACAACTTAAAGGCACTCGTATGAAACGTAAAGATTATAGTAATTGGTTTCCTGAGCAAGATAACAGAGAGTGACTCTTGTACATTTACAATGCTTGTATATTGCCGAACATGATTGTCAGACTTTCTCAAATACAAAAATGGATTCTGCCTACAGCTCTTGTCTGTAAGTTATTTTTCATCTACATCTTATAATTTATACTCCAAATCATTATCAGTTCTCTTTTCTTCCTTGTTCAGTTCGGTTTTTGTTACAAAAATAGTTTTTCAATTTAGCTTTGATCATATTTGCTACTTTAGATCAGAACTGATGGTTTAATAGAGCGAAAAATCATTCTTTAGTTTAAGCTTATTTCAAATACTTAGTCAGTTGCTACTACTATTTATAAATAAATTTCAGGTGCTTTTGTAGTGAGTGAAGCAGGTAAAAAGTGGAAGGCTGAAAAATCTCCGACTCTAATGCCAATTCAGAGTTTGGAACGCTATGAAAAAATGATGCAAGCATGGACGGCAAGTAAAAATAACCGAAAATGATGAAAATTACGTGCTTTCAATGACAGACTTGTAGATTTGTCTTAGAATACTCAATAAATATTGGAAAATTTGGCTTCACATTTTGTTCAGCAAGTTTTGCATCAGAGTGAAAGTGAGTTATAAATTTTGGGTGAATGAATAAACTATTCACTTGTTGCACTATTCACTTGTTGCATGCATGTGAGCATTATTCTCTTTGAAAGTTATTCTCTAAACTTATTTCTGCGTTCATGTATTTCAATTTCAAATTTTTAGTTCAATTTCACATTCGGCTTATATTATCCTTATAACTTCAAGTTTATTTGTTTTAAGCTTCAGAATATACTTTTACACATTATGTGTCACTTGTCAGGATATGGGTCATTTCCATTCTTCAATATTTGATACCATCCCCATTATTAATTGTCTTTATGTCTAAATTGTGAATTAGCATATTAGGATCGCACTGCTTTATAATGATAAATCATAATATAAGGTGACTGTAAATTGACGTTGACATTTTCGTATGAAATAATGTTTATAATAATTTTTGATTTACAAACTCACGTTAAGTCCTGATGCATTTGTTAAACAGGGAAAAACTTGAAGTGTTTTTTCTGATTGTACATCTTACATTATCTAGGTATTCTTCAAAATGAGCATTCCATTGAAAGTACCTACTCCAACACCTCCTGCTAAAGGATCTTTTCCTCTGGATCATGAGGGACATTGCAGATATGAAATGCTAAAATATATGCTGTGCCTGAATGAGCATATGGTAAGTGCTGCTCCTCTCACCTGCTTGATTGTTGGTACTAATTAGTTTATAGTAATTATCAACTAGCAATTGGATTAAATTTTTGTGTGGCTGTTGTATATGTGCGAAAAAAAAAAGGGTTTTCCAGCAAAAAAGTGAGGAGTGTCGGGGTTTCGCGAAAATCTACCTACAATGTAGAATGGACAATGGGTTGATGCAAAGGGAGGAGTGGAAGTCCCTTGGTTTTTCAGATGATGAAGAAGCTTCATGATAGCAAACAATGCTGATGGCTCTCTAGTGGTTCTGTGCAAAGAAATTACTGAATTTTCCTGATTAATTTGTGTTTGATGTGTAATTCATTTATGTAGCACTCATTGTTTCATCATATTTTTGATGATTGAGGGAAAAGAAAATTGTTAATAACAGAAGCTGTGGCTTCGCATTTTGCATTATTTTAATAAATTTGAAACGAATGCATCTTTTTTTGTCAGTATTTTAAATACTTAGTTTGTGTTTATTCATAGATTATAAATGATATTCATAAGTGGAATGCAAGAAACAAGTTATAATATTTTGAACTTGCTTGCTCAAGTTAATAAAGCTAATATTGTTTAAGTGTGGTAAGAGTGTTAAATAAATTGATGTTAAGAAGTATTTGATTTCTGCATATGTGAACTTTGTTATGCTGTAATCTGATGATGAGAGGTTCCTGATTTTCACATATATAAACCTCATGAGAAGGACTTTTTTTCGTAAAGTTATTAGGTTATTATCTTTATGTAGGAATTTTTTTTCAACTTAGTAGATTTTTTTTGTCCATAAAAGATTGCAAAGGAAGTAATTTTAACTACTGTAACAGAAACAAGTTATATTATTACTCTTGTTAATAACCAACACTTATTTATAATCATATTATTACGCTACCTGTTCACAGTTAATTTTAAATTATACGAAGAAGCTGATTGTTGTGAAGAACTAGTTAAAAAATGTTTTCAGCTGAAATTTACGATTTATTATCAGTAAAAATGTACTTATTTTCGTCTTTATTCTTGTTTTCAGTCTCTACATATCTTAAATTGCAATTTTATTCTGATTTTTACTACTTTTTTTGATTTTCAAGTCAGTAAGAAAACGTGAACAAAATTTCGTTCACGCTTTGTTCACTTTATGACCTATTATTAACTAGTCATTTTTAGCACAGAAAAAAAAATGAATGTCTAAATGTCATAAATTAAAGTAAGATGATTTAAAAAAGTTATACCCGCTGAACCCTTGGCCTACTGTTCTTAATACACTTCTGTATTAGGAAGACTATACGTTGAAGAGATTAACATTCAGTTTTGAGCCTTAAAAAGCAAACATTTTGCATGGTAGCCTCAGCAATTTGATAGATATAAGAAAATACTTGGTGATTACATGCAATAATGATAATGATAATGATAATGATATGAGCTAGAAATCGCGATTGCTATTATTGCCTTAAAAATTGTGCCTATTTTTATTTTCTTCCATTTTGGATTACAAAACACTACAAAGGAAAAAATATGATTCAGAATGGCAGTTATTATCTGCCAACAAAATATCATATTATCATTTATTTATTTATTTAGTAACTTGTGCACACACAAATGAAATCACTCATTATTTGTGCTTATATAATTAAAAATTGCAAATAAAAGTTTGAACATTACATTTTGCACTGAGTAATAAATAGCGAAAGATTGAATAACAATTTAATTTCTAAAATAAATCTAAAATGCTAAAGCGATTATATTTCTTTGCAATATAAACCAAACATTCGTATTTTATAGCAATTATAGACAATTTACCGAGCAGTAATAGCAATTTGAACAGAAATTCCTGCTGCAATCAGTACTTCTCTGTATATTTTCATGCAATAATGATAATTTTTTTAAAACTACCTCGGTATCTCGGGTACTTAACTGGAAATTTGAGTAATTTTACCATTTGTCATTATTTTTTTTGACTAAAAAACTGCTCAAATCACTAAATATATAATTTATTCCATTTTACAAATAATGCAAATAGTTTAGACTAGACTGCTTTTATTTGTACTCGATTGTAATTGTAATGACAAGTCTTTATACTGACATAGTCTGATGATAATAAATTAATAAATTATTTATTTGTACCATAATCCATACTGAGATAGTATGATATCTAAGTATAAAAAGTTGTCATTTCAAGAAATAGTAATCCATTTTTGTACGAATAGATAATTTTATTAATCTATTTATTAAGGATTATTACTACAAAAATACAGTAATGGAAATAAGTAATTCATTTATTCATATTTGTTAAAATTTTATGTATTTGCAAAATTTTTTCATTTCAAACTTTAAAGAATGAATAGCGATGAATTTTGCAAATATGGTAGCCAAATGATTGATATTGTGGCAAAGTACTGGAAATCTTTAAGAACACGAACTCCAGTACCAGATGTGCAACCGGGATTTATGCGTCAATTGGTACAATTCAATTCAAAATGACTAACTGAATTTTTTTAGATACTAAACTTATACTCATTGTTGTAAAATTAATAATTTTGTTCACAAAATTATATTCCTGAATTTTTTCTTAATTTATGCAGATATTCTTGTATTGTTTTTCAATTCAGCGCTTTTCAAGGTACCTCAAGACCCACCAGCAGCACCTGAATCATGGGAAAATATTTTTCAAGATATTGATAAGGTAGTAATCAATGGTAACACTCACTGGCAACATCCAAATTTTTTTGCCTATTTTCCTACTGCTTGTTCTTATCAAGCTATTATGGCTGATATTTTGAGTGGAGGATTAGCAAGTATTGGATTTTCTTGGGTATATTGACTTTCATATCTTTGCTAATCAAATTTACAGTCATTCGCTTTATTTATAAATTAGTAATTTTACATTTTGATTACATAAAAATTCCATAGCGAAATAATTTCTTTAGGTATTTTTATAAAATATTTCATTTAACTTTGCAATAATTTTACATAACTAATAATAACTAATAATTTTTCAATAATTAGTTATTCTCTAGAAATCTTCACCCTCCATGACAGAACTTGAAATTTCTATGATGGACTGGTTAGCAAAAGCTCTAGCTTTGCCTTCTGAATTTCTGAATAGCAGTACTGAATCTGGTCTAGGAATAATTCAAAATACGGCTAGTGATGCAACATACATAGCTCTTCTGGCAGCCCGAGCACGAGCTGTTGAGGTATTACCAATTAATCTTCAACAATATTTTACTTATACTCAAATTGTTGCAAAAATAAGTCTAAATTGTTGTTAAAAAGACGATAAAATTCAAACGAATTAATGTATTTTTGGCATAACATAAACTTTGTCACACTAACTCAGCTTTCAGTACATTAAATCAAATGAAAATAGTACTGAACAGAAACAACAAGTAGTTCTGAATGAAGAAGGCAGTAATCTTGATCTTGGTGAGCTGTGTGAATATCCTTATCACGATGCAACAATCATATCCAAACTGATTGCTTACTGTTCTGATCAAGTACGTAATACATTATTACAAAAAATCATTAGCAAAGTAAGCATAGTTACAGGCAAGTTTTTTGAGAATAAATGCAAGGAAACAGCAAAAAATATTACGATTTTTGTAATTTCAAATTTTTAAAACAACTTTTGCTAATAACTAAAATAGTCTTAAAATTAAACTTCCAATGCAAGGCGCATTCATCGGTAAGCAAAGGAGCGATGCTTGCAGCTGTGCGTTTAAGAAAATTGAAATCTGTAAAAAATGACTGCAACGGTAATTTTTCCGTTACTGCAAAGATGCTTGAAGCAGCAATCAAGGTGAGTAGATACATAAACTGTATTTTCTTACAGTTATTACAGTTAATAACTATTAATTATTATTATTATTATTATTATTATTATCTGTTAATAAAATTTAATGTAGCTTGTTTTTTTCGACAAGAAAATATAAATTATATATTATTAAAAAATGTGTATAATAATGCAAATTTTTAGGTAGATAGAGCCAATGGTCTAATACCATTTATATTCATAATGACTTTGGGTACAACGTCAACATGTGGTGTAGATCCTATAGATGAACTTGCATCGATATGTAGACGAGAAAATATTTGGGTACATGTCGATTCCGCTTATGCTGGTATTTCATATTAAATTTTTGTAAAAATTAAAAAACAAATCAAATGAAAATCAAGAAAAACCAAGTGCAAGAAACAACGATGCATATGTTTAATAACTAACAATCATTTTGATTATATATTCATAGACTTGAAAAGTATGAATATAATAAATATTAGATAGAATGCTTCATTTATCAGGCGCATTCCTACTTCTTCCTGAATATCGCTATTTAACTAGAGGATTTGAATACATCGACTCGTTTAATATGAATACTCACAAAGCATTACAGATGAACTTTGACTGCTCTCCAATGTGGTAAGCATTTCTACAATACTAAATGTAGTTTGAGTACCATTATTAAGCAAAGTGATTGTATCATACAGTCAAGATATCTTTCCTATTTTAAAATTATATAGCTGAACCAAACATGTGGTATGTATAATTGTATAGTGCTAAGAATTATATTTACTAACAGATAATATTGATATCACCAACAGTCTTGCTTAATTTTTCAAAAACCAAACTTGCAGGTTCAGAAATGGAAAAAAATACTTGAAATATTTTGAAGTCGATCCAGTCTATCTAAAACATGATCAAACTTCTGCAACCGATTACCGAGTAATAATTTTTAGTAAACCGACCATTCCGATGGGTATTTGTATCTGTGGTGAAATGCCATCTAGCCATTATTCATTTTGAATTAACATGAGATTAGTTAAAGGCTTATTATTTGAAAGGAATATAAATTGCCATTTTGCAAATTTCAAACTGAGATTTTTCTTTGTTATTAATATTGAGACAAAATACTCTTCTACATGGAAGGAAACTATTTATGTTGACAATACTTTCAGCATCTTCAAATAGCTCTTGGGAGAAGGTTTAGGTCGTTAAAAATATGGTTCGTACTGCGTAACATTGGAATTACTGGTTTACAGCAACATCTGAGGAAAGTAATGCGTGTGGACTTCATTTTTTTCTCAATATTCTGAATTTGTTAGCATATTTTCTTGCAAAATGTCATTTCCTTTAAATTAATCACCATCAGTCCTAAACTTATAGATGATTGACCTCGCACAGCACTTCGAGTTCCTGATACAAAATGATCCTTTACTTGAACTGTTTGTTCCACGAGCATGGGGACTTGTGTGTTTTCGAATGAAGGTATGCTTTAATTAATCAAAAAGTTCAGCAACAGCCAGTACTACACGTGATGATCTCTATCATTTCTTACTTGCAAATTGTAATTGAAAACAACTCCACCTACAGAACTCTACTAACGAGATGAATGAAGAGTTGAATAGCAAAATTAATCTCGATCGTCGCATTCATATCGTAGCATCCTCAGTACATGGTGTATACTTCCTTCGTTTCGTAGCATGCAGCACACTGACGAATCACGACGATGTACGTCAAGCATACCAAATCATCCACAACTATGCTGAGGAAATACGGAAAAGTTAATCGTACACGAAAACTCTAACCTAGCAATTGAAATAGTACTTACCACTATCATACTATGCTATTTCATTCTCAAATTGTCAATTGAATATTCATTTCGTTTTGTCTAATTGCCTGTAAAAGTTCCTCACCAATTATCATACTCACTGACAAAATAACTGCAAATATGAATGAATGATTAACTTGAATTTCAAGCATACCAACCCAATTCAGAAGTTCTCAAGAACGAAGAAAACACAGCAAACTATATCCGAGTCCACCTAGTTAAAAACACCCCATCTTTATCATTTTCGCACCACCATAAAGTCAGCAAATCAGTTAAACCAAGCAACGTAATTTTTATTCAAAGCAATAACAAACATTTTACTGTAAAAATATTCAAATCATCTTTTTCAGCAAAGCGTTTATTTGATCTTCACGATTGCCGAAATCACCGCCTTCAACAAAATGATTTGTTTTCTTTGTCCACCCTCCTGTTGGATTATTAAGTTTGAAAGGCCACAAAAAATTCGTTGCCTGTTTGAAATTACTACCCACATTGTAGATATGGTGAACAAGATCTTCCATACATATTATATTCAGTTTCCCTGAAATTGCTATTAAATTTGAAAAATCTTTAAAAAAGTGATTTCTGCTACATTACGACTCAGCTACATTCAAAAACACATAACTAATAATTTGTTTTGTATAGCTTTTCATTACACTGCCGACTCATGTAGAGTCTGAAAGGCGAAATTGAGTAATATTTCAAGCATCCATAAATTATGTTGAGAAATATTACTGAAATGACAAACCTAACGAATTTTCGATTATGGAATTATCCGTTATAGGGACACGACGACCATTTACTTTGGCGTAACCACGCTTGTATACTAAGTCATGAACAGTTCTAAGGCTTGGATATCCCCAAGCGACGTATGGTTCCACGATTCGCAACATTTGGAGAGTGGCCTTGTTTAGTTTTATAAATATTCCATTGTTTATTTGGCGTAGACGCAGAAGTTGGAGAACTTTGCGCGGACGTGGATGCATCTGGTTAACACCGCGAATTCGGATCACGAACCCAAGACGTGGTTCATCAGGAACATAAAAGTTACCTGCTTTTCTAGCTTCACGCTTTAATCGCAATTCTTCCCGTACACGAAACCTGTGCTTCCTCACATATGTTTCAGCACGTTTGAAAATATCATGCTCTTTTCGCTTTGCTAGCTAAAAAAATTAGTAACAATTTACATTAACAACTTTCGGTGACATACTACTAAATATATCACTTAATGACGAAAAAATTAACTTATCAAACACATACCTTAGCAGCCTTTGCTTTTTTAACTTGTGCCTTGGCTACCCGATCGGCCCGAAGCTTTCTTCGTTTGAGTATTGTTTCAGGCACAGTTGGAAGTTTCTTCTCCCTAATATGGAAAAGTGAGAGATACCATAGAGCATGACAATGATAAAATACTACATCATAATAAAGTGTGAAAGGTGCATGTAACCAAATTAAGCACGTTAAAAAGAACAATGGAGATGAATGCACAAGCTAGAAGCGCTGCACTTGAGTTCTTTTCTCTATAAGTTCCAGTGATCATCACTTGCAACACAACGCCAATAATTTTTTAAAATTGTCATTTTACCTCTTCCTATTTTTCACCATTGTAAATTGAAAAGTGACCATACTAACAATTATTTTCAGTAGCAAAGAAAAAAGTACTTACGTAGTAGTTTTGACCATTCTGCTCAATCTATCCTAATATTAACAGAAAATAACGAAACACTTCACGTCGTTCCACACAAATCCCACTTCCCAAAAATTAACACGACACAATATCACAATTTGGAAAGATTATGGTGTACGACAGGGTCATTGTGCAACTGTTGTTCCAAATTAAGTCGCCATTGAGTTGCAAAAAAATTGATAATGAGTTAATAAGTTATACTTTGTAGTAAATGTATATTTTAGTGTTTGTAAATGCAGAAGAGGCGCGATAGAAGCAATAGAAAGTATACTTTTTTTGTTAGCTACTCAGCAGTTATCTTTAAAACAACTTTTAACAAACAAAATTAATGCGAGACTTCCTCATGTTAAACATCAATTTGCGCATAAAATATCAGAAAACTGTTTCGGATAATATTTAATTCAAAATTTGTTCAATATTTAATTTCCGATTTAGGTCTTGTTTATTAAGTATTTACAATCAAAGTGAAGTTTGTTTTGTCCCAAACAATAAACTGATTATTTGCTGAATTGTTTCTATTCAAAAAGTCTTAGAATAAGCTGAATCATAACTGGAAGTATTATATCTTTAATATCTGCTCCCATGAGCATATTACATAAATATATTACACTAATTTGTATTAACGAATTTTGAATATATTAATTTACATGAGATAAGTTTATTACTGAGCAGATAATATCAATGATATCAGTTGTAAATTAAGCAGTTTCAGTGATATAATGTGGAGCAAAAAAATGTGATGGCTGTGAGAAGAATGAGGATGAAACAAACACATGGTAAATTATATTTGCAATATTAAAATGAATAATTTGAAAGAGCGCCGATGAGATGTGTACAACAACGCATGCCTGACTGTCTGTCTAATCGATGCAATTGCCCAGTAGACGACCGTCAGGAGCGTGAAGAAAGCATCGAGGCATTGCTGTGAGTGCTGGCATTTTCTGAGTAGTAGGTAGTGATGTGGTGATAGTTGTAGTAGTGATGATGTTAACAATAATAATGATGATAACAAGCATGTCGATAACGATGTGTGTAGTGATACTGGCCACTTCATCATTCACATCAATGTGATGTGTTGTACGACACGTACGCGCACTTGATGACGTATCACTTTAACAGCGTCATATTGAGCACAGTTAGATTAGCTAGTATTCATTCTATTTCTTTTCCTCTTAGTGCATTTTTTTGCTTCCCTTACTTACGTGTCAGCAAAATCAATCATACAGTAATGCGTATATAAATGCAAATATAATTCATAATTTAATTCATTGGAAGTAATGCGATAATATGTAATTTTTTTGAATTACATTATCGTATATGGGATTACAAGTAGAGAAATCAAGCAGTACTGACTTATTGGGTGTTTATGGTAAGATTTTTGTATAAGTGATTTGTAACTTCGATTTATACAGTGTCATGTTTTTGATAAATTAGGGCATTAAAATATTGACTTGTTGAAGATGACTAATGTATTTGTTAGACTCTAATTTTGCTCTGCTATAAACTGTTTGCAACTATACAACTGTGGTAGATAGCGTTCCTTACCAATTATGTTATTCTGTTTTTGTTTGCCTTTTTTGGAAGAAAGTAAATTTTTGAAAAGATACTGGTGAGTTTGGAAATGAGTTAGATCATTTCTGAGTTGATAACCTTTCTTCATTAAAATAAGAAAGTGTTCGATTTCATGTTTCTCGTCTACATTTGTTATTGACAGGCACAGAAGAAGGCTGCAAAAGTGAAGGTCATTCATTCAATTATTTGTTTGCATGGGATGCATCGCTTTGTCCAGTATTTCACGCAATTGCGATGATTTCTTACTCTGTCGTTATTTGCGTGCATTGTATAATAATGCTTAATATAAATCTTTGTACTTATTATTATCAAAAGAATTCTCTCTAAGACCACTCTTTGCAGTATTGACCTAAATTTTATTAATTTCGTTCATGTTTGGTGCTCATGATAAACGAGTAGCAACTCGATTTTTTAATGCGTACGGACAGAGAATGATTATTGAAGAAGCAAAATATATATACTAAATCTAATACTGATGAGTTTCTTCCATTTGCTGTGCTGCGTTAATGTTCTGCAACATGGTAAAAGAATAAGTAGCATAAATGTAGCAACTGCAATGCATAAGAAAACATACATGAATGTTTTTGTAACTTAAAGTATAGATTGTAATACTTTGCTATACATAATGTATTTGTATATATATATATATATATATATAT